AGATGCTTATTAGCCAATAGCCACCCAGGCACCCTAAAACCTCATCTTGATAGATATATTTTACTAATAAAAAAAAAACCTCTTCCTGCCTTTTGCCCATTGGGCTTCTAATTTCCAGGTAGTGTCTAAGATGTGATGCTATGTATATATCATTTGTCAGATATGTATAATGGCTGTTTTATTTATTGACCTGACTATTCTCACAACAGTATAATACTGTTTTATATTTTATAGCAGTTGGTAAAAATCAATTAAATATTAATATATATGTCAAGTTTTCTAATTATTTTTTCTTGGATTATTTATTCAAATCTTTGATATTGTTTTCAGGAAAGTTTTGTAGTTTTTTTCATGTGATGTTGAATATTTCTTTTTAAAATTATTTCTCCATATTCCATAGTTTGTTTTTAGTGTGATTAGGGGTCTTTTCCCATTACATTTAGAGTGTAGGAAAGTTAATAATGTTTGCACATTCATTTCTTTTTTATACTCTTTTTTTTTAAAAGATTTTATTTATTTATTTGACAGAGAGAGACATAGCGAGAGAGGGAACACAAGCAGGGGGAGTGGGAGAGGGAGAAGCAGGCTTCCCGTCGAGCAGGGAGCCCGATGTGGGGCTTGATCCCAGAACCCTGGGATCATGACCTGAGCCGAAGGCAGATGCTTAACGACTGAGCCACCCAGGCGCCCCGTGCACATTCATTTCTATTCATGAAACTTACTAAACTCTAGGAGACTTGGAATATTCACTTGGAACCCCAGAAAAGTCATTACTTTCCTAGCAGCAGTAAATTTGCCCTAGAGAAAAGGATATTCTAAATCTTCCCTATCAAAGTTTAAAAGCCTTGATCAGTCTGTTTTGCAAGTAACTTAACTGCCTCCCAGCACAAAGTATAGCAATCTTTAAAGGAAAGCAACAAAATCTATACATTCTACAATATAATATCCACAATATCCAGCATAAAATTTTTAAAAGTAAGGAAATATGCAAAGGGGGAGAATTATGTAACCCATGCCAGGAGAAAAAATTAGCCAATAAAATAGACCCTGGAATTTTTAAAATGATATAATTAGATGACAGGGACTTTTAAAAGTGATTATAAATTTTCTCTTGGATTTAACAAATATTAACATAATAATAAGAGAAATGGGAGATGTAAAACACACATGGAATTTCCAGAAATGGGAAAATAACATAACTGAAATGAAAAATTCCATGGATGGGATTAACAACTCAACAGACACAAAAGATAATTTCAGTGAATTTAAAGATAAGCCAATAAAAACTACTCAAACCGAAGGAAAAAGATTTAAAAAGATTGAAAAAAAACATGAACCAGTAATTCCTGGGATGATATCAAATAGTTTGGTATATCTGTAATTGGATTTGCAGAAGGAGAAGAGAGAGAGGAGGCTAGAAAAAATTTAATAATTTTCAAAATTTGGTGAAAATCATAAACTCAAAGTTCCTAGAAATTCAATAAATCTTAAGCCAGAAAAACACAAAGAAATACACATGTGAAGGCACATTATAATCAAATTACTGAAAACCAACATTAATGAGAATATTTTAAATGTGTTCAGAGAAGAAAGACACATTATGTCCAGAGGAACAATGACAAGAATAACTTCAGATTTTTTATCAGAAAATATGTAATACCGAAAACAATTAAATTACATTATTTAAATATGAGGGAAAAACTGTAAATTAAGCATTCTATAACCAATAAAAATATTTTAAGGGGTGCCTGGGTGGCTCAGTCATTAAGCGCCTGCCCTCAGCTCGGGTCATGATCCCGGGGTCCTGGGATCGAGCCCCACATTGGGCTCCCTGCTCAGTGGGAAGCCTGCTTCTCCCTCTCTCACTCCCCCTGCTTGTGTTCCCTCTCTCGCTGTCTCTCTCTGTCAAATAAATAAGTAAAATCTTTTTAAAACATATTTTCAAAATTAAGGATAGAAAAGACTCTTTGATATGAACATCTGAGAGAATTTATTGCTAGAAGATAGGCACTAAAGGAAATATTAAACTATATTTAGGTAGAAGGAAAATAATGTCAGATGGAAATGTGGATCTAAACAAAGCAGTGAAGAGTGCTGGAATGAAAAATTTGTGGATAAAATACTGTATTTCATTTAAATGTTTTTAAAAAGATAAATTGACTATTTCAAGTAAACAATAATAGTGTATTGTGGCATTTGTAACATACTTAGACAAAACTGTTTCTATTGCTTTTAATAACTAATTTTATGGATATTAAATTATTGATTTATCTGTTGATAATTTCATAGTTTCAAGTTTTGGCTATTTTGAATAAAGCTGCTATGAATGATTTTTACTGTGGTAAAAAACAAAATTTGCCATCTTAACATTTTTAAGTGTGCAGTTCAGTAGTATTACATATATTTACATTGTTGTGAAACAGATCTCCAGAACTTTTTTATCTTGCAAATATGAAACTCTTAATACTCTTTTTGGTATTCTGAGCACCCATTTTCCAATGTGAGTGCTAGGGTTCCTCCTATACCAAAAAGCAATTCTTGGACACCAGCAGAATTCACTTCAATTCTATCTACCCAAAGATGACATCAGATTCCATAGGTTAAGGGTCCAGGCTTACAAGACTGTACACCAACCCCCCCACCCCACATATGCCAGTTGCTATCCTAGGTGATATCCTATGCAATCACCCGTGCTTCTGACCAGTTGGCTATAGATTGGAAGTTCCATGACTTCCTCCTTGGCAACTCGGTTCAGATCAGTTGCAAGCCCAGGTTGTTACCTATACTTCTAACTGGCTATAAACCAGAGGTTCCCAGGATTCCCTCCTTGGATTAAATTAATTTGCTAGAGTGGCTCACAGAACTTAGAGAAGCATTTTGCTTACTAGATTACTCTTTTATTATAAAAAGATAAAATTCAGGTTCAGCCAGGTGGAAGATATGTACAGGGCAAGGTATAGGGAAAGGGTGCCGAACTTTCATGCCCTCTCTATGCACACTGTCCTCAAATCTTTATATGTTCACCAACCCAGAAGCTCTCTGAACCCTGTCTTTGGGTTTTATGGAGGCTTCATCACATAGGCACAACTGATTAATTCATTGGCCATTGACAATTGATTCAACCTCCCTGAAGTTTGGTGGGGGAGGGCGGGACTGAAAGTTCCAACCCTCTAACCACATAGCCACATGGAATCACATGGATTCCCCTGGCAACCAGCTCCCATCCTTAGATGCCTTCAAAACTTACTTCATTTACATAACAGAAGACACCTTTCTCTCTCTCAACACAGGAAATTCTAAGGGTTTTGGGAGCTGTAAACCAGGAACTGTGGACAAAGACCAAATACATGTGAGAAATATATTTCAATCATCTGAATGATGAAATATTTGTTTCTTATAAAACACAATGGCAATACCCATTAAATAACTTTCCTTTCCCCTATTCCAAAAGCCCCTGCAAACCCCCATTCTACTTTGTTTTGATGAATTTGACTACTTTCGATACCTCATATAAGTGGGGTAATACAGTATTTGTCTTTTATTGATGGTTCATTTCAGTCATCTATGTTTTAGCATGTGATAGGACTGACTTCCTTTTTAAGATTGAATAATATTCCCTTATATGTATGTACCACATTTTGTTAATGCAGTCATCTGTTAGTGGACATTTGGGTTGTTAACACCTCTTGGCTCTTGTGACTAATACTTCTGGGGTCATAGGTATGCAAATTTTCATTTTGAGACTCTGCTTTCAGTTATTTTTTATAGTAGTCATCCTAATGGGTGTAGGGTGGTATCACTGTGATTTTCATTTTTATTTCTTTTATGACTATTGATGATGAACATCTATTTATATTCTTATTGGCCATTTGTACATCATCTTTGGAGAAATTTCTATTCAAGCCCTTTGCCCATTTAAGTAGATTATCTGATTTTTTTTATTATTGTTGAGTTGTATGAGTTCTATTCATATTCTTGATATTAATGTCTTATAAGATATATGATTTGCAAGTCTTTTCTCCTGTTCTATAGATTACCTTTTCACTCTCTTGATTATATCCTTTGATGCACAAAAGTTTTTAAGTTTGTTGTAGATCCATTTGTCCATTTTTACTATTGTTGCTCGTGCTTTTAGTCCAAGAAATGATTGTGAAGTCCAATGTCATAAAGCTTTTTCTCTATGTTTTCTTCTAGGAATTTTATAGTCTTAGGTCTTACATTTGGTCCTTAATTCATTTTGAGTTAATTTTTATACATAATGTGAGATAAAGATCTAATTTCATTCTTTTGCATTGGATATCCAGTTTTCATTTGCAGATAAGACTTCCCATTGAGTGGCCTTGGCATCCTTGTCATAGATCATCTGACCATATAAATAATATATTACTGATAGCCATAATTAAAAAAATGAATAAATAAATGAAATAAATGGAGATAAGGGAAAATTCTTCCTTATAGTGTAATCAATATAGAAGGAATGAATAAATAAAATCTTTAAAAAAATAAAACAAACAAAACAAAAACACATACAATCCAATCCTGGTGAAGGACAGTAGGGAAGGGTAAAGTGCTCATTTGTAAGTACAAATACTTCAAGCTACCACATAATGTCACTGAACTTGGAGATAGGAAGAGATGTGCACAATCAGCTCTGGAGGTGGTACTAGCTGGCTCCAGGATACCACTGGATGGGTCTCATTTTCATGAGCATTTAAGGATATGTTTCTGAAATGGCAAACTAAGTTTTCAGGTGAATATTTGAAAGTGTTAAATTTTCTTGATGTAAATTCTATGAGCCTCTATAGCTTTTTTCAAACTGTGTGTACGTTTTTGTGTGTGCATTAGAAACCAAACATTTGATTTGTAGGATTATTTCTGTAAATAAATAAAATTACACTAAATGAAAATACAAAAGTAAGCTTGATGATCCATCTGATAGTTTTATTTTTTATGATAAAATAGTTTTAAATGATCATTTAACTTTTTAAAAATGATCCTAGGTATGCACTTCCAATGAAACGTGCCATTGTTTTGATGGCTACCAGCCTCCATATTGCGAAAGACGTGGCAGAGAAGTTTCTAGTTTGTCTGGGAAACAGGGCAAGTATCTAATATCTTTACATATTCAGTTAATAAATTCTCAAATTGCTTATCTTCACAAAAACAAAGGTAGATTTTTGCTGCCTAGAAGTCAATATTTGCAATTAAAAGGTAAATAGTCTTCTTTTCAAGAAATGAAAACCAAGTATGTCTTCTTAATCTTGCTCTTCTAATACTAACTCTCAATATCATGATTGAAACTGAGAGTATCTTCTAAAATTTTTATTTACTGATATCATTGACTTTCTCCATTAGGCTATCCTGTAAATTTGTTGGATTACCTTGCAATTACATGATCCCCCATTATATATCATTGAAGTTTTTGGGTCCAACTTAATAGTGCTATAGTGAGATTTTGCTATAGCTGAAGTATAATGTAGAATATGTTGGAATTTTCTGGAACTTGTTTTCTAATCTTTTAGAATGAGAGGTTGTAGAGATAGTTCTAAGTATTATGATTCTATTATTATTTTTCCATGTTCTTTGAATAACAACAAAAATTAAGAATGCTGTAATTGGTTTGCTGCAACTTGAAAGTAAAAGTAGATGGCTTCATTTTTTTACTCTGATTTTTAATGTATTTCTATTTTTAGGTTTAACCATGGAAAGAACTCTTAGGAAGGCTGAAAAGAACCGATGGCTTCTAGGTTTCTACATTGCTTTACCTGTTATCATCATAGCAACCATAATAGCTGTTTCGTGGCATAGTTCGACCAAGTGGTTTGTCAAGGAAGAGGAATCCCTAAGTAGCAAGTAAATTGAATTTGTGTTCCGAAGTTAAACTTTAGTACCATTTGACTCTGGTCATATATAGGGCAGTATCATGAGCCACACTATACATTTTACAGGGATTTTGAGTACTATATAAATATCTCATTTAATTTTGTGAAATAGTTTTGAATATCCCCATTTTAAAGATGCAAAAATTTGGGAGTATAATTTAAATAATTTGCCAAAGTCATTGCCTTGGAAATTGAGAGAGAAAGAACTCAAATGTATCCTTATCTATTGCTTTCAAATACTTGAGTGGTTCTCAAATTGTGATCTGTGTTACCTACAGGAGAACCACCAGAAATATTTGTTAAAAATGCAGATTTCCAGGCCTTATCACAGATGAAATATTTCAATTTTCGTTGCTGCTTTATGTAAGAAATGATTTTAAAAATATTCTCTGGCTAAAGTATTCAGAAGGCAAATTTATAATTTAGACTTTAGCATATTTAATTTTTTTTTTTTTTTTAGAGAGAGAGTGTGCACAAGTGGGGGGAAGGAGCAGAGGGAGAGGGAGAGAGAGAATCTTTTTTTTTTTTAAGATTTATTTATTTTAGAGAAAGAGAGAGGAGTGCGCAGGGGCGAGGGGCAGAGGGAGAGAGAGTCTGAAGCAGACTCCACACTGAGCATGGAGCCTGATGGGGCTTGATCTCATGACCCTGAGGTCACGACCTGAGCCAAACTGAGAGTCAGATGCTTAACTGACTGAGCTGCCCAGGCACTCCAAGCATATTTTAATTTTTTTAAAAAATAATTCAAACATAAAGAGAACACGGTGATGAATACTCATTTGCCCTCTAGTGGAAATAAACAAATGTTAATATTTTTCTTGGTTCTTGCATTTACAGCTGCATTCCCTTTCTAGTATTATCTCCCTCTCTGCAGAGAACAACCTCTACACTGAAAGTTGATATGTATTACATATTTTTGCTACATATGGCTGTATCAGTGTGCCATATCTGGAATTATATTTTATTTATTTTATTTTGGAATTATATTATAATTTTAAATATTTACACCTTTATAGATACATTTCCTTTTCTAATTCTAATTTTTTTATGTGTTTTCTTTTTTCCCTTTTTCATGAGAAGTTTTCTCAGAGGTTTTATTGGTAATTTGAAAAATATAACTTTGGGGTTTGTTGAGATCTCTATATTTCCTTAGTGTTTATTATCCTTAAATTTTGCTCTTTTCCTCCTTTCTGCTCTCTTTACTCTTGCTCTGTTTTAATTCTAGCTTTCTTGAGTCTAATAGGGCTTTTTTTTAAATTAATTTTCAGTCTTTCTTATTTCCAGCATATGTTTTTAAAGCTAAAACTTTCCCTTTTAAATATCATTTCATGTATACTCTCCAGTTTTTAATATATAGTTGACATTCAGTTCAAAAAATTAGAAACTTCCAGTATGATTTCTTGTTTGAATTATGGATAAATTATAATCTTTAGTTTCCAATTATATGATTTATTTTGATTGCTGAAAAAAATTATTTTCTAATTTTATTACCTTATTGGGAGAGACTTGTTTCTATGATTTATTCTTAAATGTTGGAATTAGAAAGGAAGTCAATTTTTGTAAAAATCTATGCTTGTAGGTATGCTTCAATTACTGTAACATGTTTGTTTTTCTTGTTTCAAAAACAAACTTTTTTTAATTATGTTGTTTCAAATCATTTTTATATGTATTGGGATTTCCCCCATCTGCTCATTAATTTATTTTCTGTGAGAAGCAAACTAAAGTTTTTCAGTATTTCATGGCTTTCCCTCTGATTTTTGAAACTTCTGCTTTATATATTCTGAGGCAATGACAATGCATTAATGTTCAATTTAGTTATAATTTCTTGGTATATTATCTTTTTATCATTAATAATTTTATCTTAAAATCTATTCTCACTGTTTTATATTGCTATATCAACTTGCTCTTTGAAATTTAGATTTACTTAGTATATCTTTTTTCATCCCCTATTCTTAATCTTTCTTTGATTTTCATTGGTTTCTTATAAACAGCCTTTATATGAGATGCAATAGTGGTTTTTGTTATGCATATATGCTTAGTAAATGATGGCATATATTTAGATTGAAAATTGCCATTTTTTTCTTATTTACCATCTTTTTTTTTTTTGCATGTTTTCTTTCCTTTTCCTCAAATCTGTTTGTGTTTTTTCTGTTCTCTTTTCTCTTCTATTACTTTGCACATTTTTATGTTTTTATTTTTAAATGATTTTTTTAAATTTTAGTATTTATGGTTAATGTTATACAGTGTCTAATTTAATCATTATATATGGTCATCTGAATTACACCAGGATCTCATAACACTGGCCTCTCTTCATCTATTTGTTTGTAATTTGGCTTTTCCCTTGGCCCCAAATAATTTAGTGTTGTTTTGTTATTGTTATATTTAGTCAGTACTTACTAGGATTACCTATTATATTTCCTAGGTCTTTGTTTAGTGTTCCTTTCTTTTAAACTTTTTATTTTGAAATAATTTAAGAAATATAAAAAGTTGCAAAAATAGCAGAGTTTCCTTATCCCTTTCATTTGGGTTTTGCCAATGATAACATCTTACGCTAACAGTGCATTTTCACAGCTAGGGAATTGGTATTGGTACAATATTAATAATTAAACTACAGACCTTATTCATATTCATCAGCATTTACATGCAGTCTTTTTTTGTGATCATTTTTGAGTATGTGTGTGTATGTAGTATTATGAAATTTAATCACATGGTTTTTGATACCACAATCATCACCATTCTTTTTAGAATCCTGCTTTTTTCATTCTAGGTTCAATTTTATTCTTAGGAAGCACTGTCTTAGTAGTTATTACAGTTATGGTCCATGTGTAATAATCTGTTTGATTTATATGCCTGAAAAGGGCTTTATTTCATTTTCACTCTTGTATGGGTGTAGCATTTTACCTTAACAGTTATGTCTAAGTTTTTTTGTGATATGCCATTGAATTCTGGCATTTACTGTTGGTGATGAGATGTCTGCTGCCAGTATAATTAATTCATTTTTACTTTTATGCTTAAACTGTTTCTTTTTTAAGTTAGCTTTCCAAGTATTCTGTTGTCCAGTCTTGTTACTAAATTATTACCTGTTCTGATGAGTTTTTTTTTTTTTATTTATCTGGCTCTGAACTCAGCATAATCTTTAATTATGAAGTTTTTCTTCAATTCTAGAAAATTCTAATCATTATCTCTTCAATGGTTGACACCCATTCTATCTCTTTTATCTTTCTGCAATTCCTATATTTTATGGTCTTCATTTCTCATTTCCATGGTGGTGGTGACAATGATGGTTGCTTTCCTTCTCCTCTTCCTCCTCCTGCTCCTCCTTTTTCTTCTTTCCTTTTGACACTAGAATGAGGCTTTTTTTTTAATTTAAATTCAGTTAGCCAACATATAGTAAGTACATCATTAGTTTTGATATAGTGTTCAGTGATTCATTAGTTGCATATAACACCCAGTGCTCATCCTATTAGGTTTTTAAAAACTGAGCTACAATTTACATATAGTAAAATTTTTAGTGTGTGTAATTCTATGAGTTTAACAAATACATACACATACCATGACCACCATAAAATAAAGAACAATCCCATTATCCCCCAAATTCCCTCTAACCCCTCCTCCAGCTCCTGGCACTGACAGATCTGTCTTTGCTGTAGTTTTGCCTATTCCAGAATTTTGTATAAATGGAAGCATACAGTGTATAGTCTTTTGAGTCTGCCTTCTTTCCATTAGGATAATGCATTTGAGATTCATCCATGTTGTTATGTGATAGCTTGTTCCTTTTTTTAAAATAACATACAAGCTAAGGCCTTTATTCTATGGAGAATGAGGAATGGCTTAAAGAAAAATATTTTTTCTGAGCCATGTTTCAAAAGACCTTCACCATCAAAGCTATAATTTTCATAGGATCAATAGCTAATATGTAAACAATTATATCTACAAGGTTCCTCATGATAAAGAAAAATAAAAAAGGATTAAAATAATGTTTGGAAAACAATTTAAAAATACAGTTTTATTGAGGTACAGTTGACATACAGTAAATTGCCTATTCTTTAAGTGCATAATCTGGTATGTTTTGATAATTTGAAAAGTAACACTCATGAAGCTCATGGAACCATCACAACAATCAAGATTATGAAGATACCTGTCATGCCCCAAATCTTCCTTGTGTTCCTTGGTAATCCCTACCCCTTTCTCTGCCATCTCCTTTATCCCCACAGTACTGCTGATCTTCTTTGTCACTACAGCTCAGTTTGCATTTTCTAGAATTCTATATAAATAGAAGCATACAATATGTGCTCTTTATTTTTGTCTGGTTTATTTCACTCATCACAATTATTTTGCAATTCATCCATGCTCTTATGTATATCAGTAGTTGTACTTTTTTATTGCTGATAGGTATTCAGTTGTACAAACATAGCATAATTTGTTTATCCATTCATTCCATTCATCTGTCGATGGATGTGTGGGTTGTTTCCAGATTTTAGCTGTTATAAATAAAGCCACTATGAACATTTATATGCAAGTCTCTGTGAATATGTGCTTTCTTTTTCTTGGGTTGATACCTAAGAATGAATGGAAAGGTAATATGGTAGGTATGTTTGACTTCTAAAGAAAGAACTGAACTGTTTCTCAAAACAGTTGTACCATCTTATATTCCCGTCACTAGTATGTGAGAATTCTAGTTCCTCGACATTTTTGCCAACACTTGGTATAGTAATATATTTATTTTTAAAATTTTAGCAATTCTGATAGTGTGTAGTAGCATCTCATTGTTTTTAATTCACATTTATCTAATGACTAATGACATTGCTAATTGTTTCATGTGGTTATTTGTCATCTGTACCTCTTCTTTGGAGAAGTGTGTGTTCAAATCTTTTGCCCATTTTAAAATTAAGTAATTAATTAACTTATAGTTAAGAGGTCTTTTACTCATTTATTTTTGTACCTATTATGCCATGATTTCATAGGAAATGGGTTCCAGCAGGTCAGGCTCCCTTCAGTTGAATCTCACAAAATGTGCTTCTCTGGGTGGAGCAGATTGGTGCTTCAGTTGAACCCAAGTACCTTTCTTTTTGGCTTCCTTCTTTTCCTTTTTCTTTCTTTTTTTTTTTTTTTTTTTAAGATTTTATTTATTTATTTGACAGAGAGAGACACAGCAAGAGAGGGAACACAAGCAGGGGGAGTGGGAGAGCGAGAAGCAGGCTTCCCGCTGAGCAGGGATCCCGATGCAGGGCTCGACCCCAAGACCCTGGGATCAGGGCCCCAGCTGAAGGCAGACGCTTAACAACTGAGCCACCCAGGTGCCCCGGCTTCCTTCTTTTTCTGATCATTTTCCTTCACACATTTTAGGAAACTATCTCGGTTTTTGGAGTTTTAGAGTGCTTCATATTCTCATTATGTACCTTAATTCTCTTGGCATGAATCTTGCCCTTAATTTTAGCAGGATGCATAACATTGTAGACTCAGTTTTGCCATGATAACATTTGTGGGACATTCCTTTTTAAACAGTGCCCATTTCCTTTATGTTTATAATATCTTAATTGTAGATTAACATGTATGTAGCTAAAGGAACAACTCCATGTTTTTTAAAAGGCCTAAAGAATGTATAGCTGGTGCCATTCCTCTTTCCCTTTGTGTTGGTAGTTCCAGCTGAAAATCCCCATTTTTTAATTGGCTTGTCTTTTTATTACTGAGTTATTCAGATCTTGTGGTTGTTTTAAAAATGGGTTGTTTTCTTATTACTGCATATTGAGTGTTCTTTACATATCCTGGGTATGTCTTATTATGTATGATTTGCAAATATGTAGACGAGGAATAGTCTAAGGCTTATCTTTTTATTCTTTCAAAGAGCAAAAATTTTAAATTTTTATGAAATCCAATGTGTGAATTTCTTCTTTTATAGATCATGATTTTAGTTTTGTATCTAGGACATATTTGCCTAACCAAAATTCATACCAATTTTCTTCCATGTTTTCTTCTAAAATTTTATAGTTTCGGGTTTTGCATTTAGACCTATATCCAATTTGAATTAAGTTTTGTATAGGTTAAAAGGTATGGATAGAGTGCTTGTTTTCTGCATAAGAATATCCAATTGTTCTAACACCATTGTTTTTAATGCTTTGCTAAGTGGGATCAGAATAGTCACCACTACTGAGGCGATACCCTTTTGAGTAACTCTACCCAGTTCTCCAAAGCATGGTATTTTAAATGTCAGGTGGCGGGAACACAAGCTATTCTTGTCCCTATGTGAGCACAAAAGATTGCTCAATTTCAAATAATTTTTCTCCAGCTTAATTTTTCTAAGTAGTTTCCTCACTTGCATTCAATGATCAGTACTTTGCAGAAGACTCAAGAGGGACCCTCCACAGATCTCAGGAGCTCTGTGCAGCTCTTTCCCTCTCTGGTATATTTTCTCTGTGAATTCTAGCTGCCTTGGCCTCCTTAGACCCCCAGTTCTATTAGCTCAACTCAGGGAGATTTCTGGATTTTGCCTGGGTCCCCCTGGCTGTGCGATAGCTTAGAAATTCTCACCAGGCAGTAAGAAGGGTCGATCATAGGTATCTCACCTTTTTTATTCCCCTCTATCAGAAGTCACTATCCTGTGCTGCTTACTATTCAATGTCTGAAAACCACTGTTTCATATATTTTGTCTGAATTTTCAGTTGTTTTAGGCAGGAGGGTAAATTGAGTCTGTTACTCCATTTTGGTCAAAATTGGAAGTATGCCTTTATGGTTTGTAACTGCATTCATATTTATCTACATCTCACATTGTGTTAGATTTTTCTTTCATTTCACCAGTTCTTCTGCCATCACTGTCCTGTTTAAGATTTGTGGATTCTGTTCTTGCAAAGATCTCTATGGAGATTTAAAATATTCTTATATAAACTTTTTTTAATCACTTGTGTTTTTTGGTGTGTGAATTCACTGTTTTGCTGTGGATGTTGACATTAATTCTTAGTGGTTTGTAATCATAGATTCTTTTATCTTCAGTGTTTATTATTTTCTCATGAGAATTCTGCATGTTTTGTGTGAAGATAAATACATGTGGATTGTTTCACTTTTGCTTCTTTTATCAGTCAAAAATATTTAAAACAATTGCTATGCACAGTGTTCAAGAAATTGTAGGGATGTGAACTGGAGTCCTAAAATTACACTTTTTGGAGGCTTGGGATTCCTACTTCTCTCAGTGATGCCTTTCCCTGCCCCCCATCTACATATCCTCATTTCCCTGTTGCATTCCAAAGGCCACAAGCCAGAATTTTTATTATCTGTGTTTCATGGGTGGTATGGCTCTTCATGGCTCCCAGGTTTAATTAAGGAACTCACAGTTTCCCCACATGCAAAGGCCTGGAACCTCAACTCCCAAGGAAGAGCTATTAAATCTCTAGCCTGAAATGTGTTATTACTGGTTTAGGTGCCCCTGCAGTTTTTCAGTTTTAGCTCCTGTTTACTGTTTCAACTCTCAGTTTCTTCATTTTTACTAGCACCAGGAGAAGTCTTATTGTTAACCTCAGTTATGTAGTCAATGTTTTGTTATTGTTTTCAGCACTCCTCCATGTTATGAGGAATGTAAAGGGGAAATTGCCCCGCCTGCCCACTCTGCCAAATTGCCTAGAAGCCAGTATGGGTTTTTTAAATTCACAAAATATAACATTGTTTTCAAAATCAATGAATAAAAGTTAAAATTTGGGGCATGAATGTCAGAATCAGGGACTCAGGGTCAAATCTGTATTCTATGTTCAGAAGAGATAAGGAAAAAGCAAATCTGTGCCTTTTTGATAATCTCCTCACTGTGGGATTTGAAATTTGCACTCTTTGTGGATGAGGTATACGGGTAAATAAGAATATTATTTATTTCCATCTTTGTTCAGTGACCTTGAACATTATTTTCTTTATTGGTAACTAGTCTTGTAAAGAGGCAATACTGCTTATAAAATGACCTGAATTTTTATTCATGCAGTTGGTAAGACTTTCTTAGGACTAACATGAGACACTATTTTTCATTTTTTTAAATATCTAGCTCAGAAGGCAGCACTCACACATTTGCTAGCAGGTAAGTAAATTAGAAGGTATCTTAAAACACATGTTGTATATTAAGAATGAATAATTCACAATTTTTAGATATCACTTGAACAGATGCAATTGGTAAAGTAATGCACTGAAAACCAGTCTACAAATATATAGTAATTTAGCTTCACTTAATAAATGTTTATTAGAAGTCTACTCTGAGGAAACAAGGACAAAAATAGCCAACTCTAATAAGAAATAGGGTGTATATAATTAGTAAAGAAAAAGGCTATATGGTGCCTAGAAAAGGCCCAACTTGGGTTATATTCATGTATTGCTTGGGTAAATAAACAAGCAAGTACCTAACATTTCACAGATTGTATGCGACAAAGCTCAGGTAAAATCTATAATAATTATGGATTGGGAAGAGCTAATTATATTGACTTAACTGTGCTATTAGTATTATGTCCCCATTAGGGTTTCTTAACCATAAATTCAGTCCTCACTGTTTTATAATTGCTATATGAACATTCTATTTGTTAGATTTATGTAATATAACTTTTCAAATCGTTTACTTTCTTTTTAAAATTTTTTTTATTGTTATGTTAATCACCATACATTACATCATTAATTTTTGATGTAGTGTTCCATGATTCACTGTTTGTGTATAACACCCAGTGATCCATGCAGAATGTGCCCTCTTTAATACCCATCACCAGGCTAACCCATCCTCCCACACCCCCCCTCTAGAACCCTCAGTTTGTTTTTCAGAGTCCATCGTCTCTCATGGTTCGTCTCCCCCTCTTATTTTGCCCCTTTCGTTCTTCCCCTTCTGCTATCTTCTTTTTTTTTTTTCTTATAATATATTGTATTATTTGTTTCAGAGGTACAGATCTATGATTCAACAGTCTTGCACAATTCACAGCACTCACCATAGCACATACCCTCCCCCAATGTCTATCACCCAGTCACCCCATCCCTCCCACCCCCCCTCCAGCAACCCCAGTTTGTTTCCTGAGATTAAGAATCCCTCATATCAGTGAGGTCATATGATACATCTCTTTCTCTGAGTGGCTTATTTCGCTCAGCATAACAACCTCCAGTTCCATCCACGTCGTTTCAAATGGCAAGATTTCATTCCTTTTGATGGCTGCATAATATTCCATTATATATATACAACCTCTTCTTTACATATTCATCTGTCGATGAACATCTTGGCTCTTTCCACAGTTTGGCTATTGTGGACACTGCTGCTATAAACATCGGGGTGCACATACCCCTTCGGATCCCTACATTTGTATTTTTGGGGTAAATATCCAGTAGTGCAATTGCTGGGACATATGGTAGCTCTACTTTCAACTTTTTGAGGAAACTCCATACTGTTTTCCAGAATGGCTGCACAGCTTGCGTTCCCACCAACAGTGTAGGAGGGTTCCCCTTTCTCCACATCCCCACCAACATCTGTCCTTTCCTGACTTGTTAATTTTAGCCATTCTGACTGGTGTGAGGTGGTATCTCATTGAGGTTTTGATTTGGATTTCCCTGTTGCTGAGCGATGTTGAGCACTTTTTCATGTGTCTGTTGGCCATTTGGATGTCTTCTTTGGAAAAATGTCTGTTCATGTCTTCTGCCCATTTCTTGATTGGATCATTTGTTCTTTGGGTGTTGAGTTTCATAAGTACTTTATAGATTTTGGATACTAGCCCTTTATCTGATATATCATTTGCAAATATCTTCTCCCACTCTGTCAGTTGTCTTTTGGTTTTGTTGACTGTTTCCTTTGCTTTGCAAAAGCTTTTTATCTTGATGAAGTCCCAATACTTCATTTTTGCCCTTGCTTCCCTTGCCTTTGGCGATGTTTCTAGGAAGAAGTTGCTGCGGCTCAGGTCGAAGAGGTTGCTGTCTGTGTTCTCCTTTAGGATGTTGATGGACTCCTGTCTCACACTGAGGTCTTTCAACCATTTGGAGTCTATTTTTGTGTGTGGTGCAAGGAAATGGTCCAGTTTGATTGTTCTGCATGTGGCTGTCCAATTTTCCCAACACCATTTGTTGAAGAGACTGTCTTTGTTCCATTGGACATTCTTTCCTGCTTTGTCAAAGATGAGTTGACCATAGAGTTGAGGGTCCATTTCTGGGCTCTCTATTCTGTTCCAGTGATCTATGTGTCTGTTTTTGTGCCAGTACCATACTGTCTTGATGATGACAGCTTTGTAATAGAGCTTGAAGTCCGGAATTGTGATGCCGCCAGCTTTGCTTTTCTTTTTCAACATTTCTCTGGCTATGTGGGGTCTTTTCTGGTTCCATACAAATTTTAGGATTATTTGCTCCATTTCTTTGAAAAAAGTGGATGGTATTTTGATGGGGATTGCTTTGAATGTGTAGATTGGTCTAGGTAGCATTGACCTGTTCACAATATTTGATCTTCCCATCCATGAGCATGGAGCATTTTTCCATTTCTTTGTGTCTCCTCAAATTCTTTCATGAGTATTTTATACTTTTCTGAGTACGGATCCTTTGCCTCTTTGGTGAGATTTATTCATAGGTATCATATGGTTTTGGGTGCAATTGTAAATGGGATCGACTCCTTAATTTCTCTTTCTTCGGTCTTGTTGTTGGTGTATAGGAATGCCACTGATTTCTGTGCATTGATTTTATATCCTGCCACTTTACTGAATTCCTGTATGAGTCTAGCACTTTTGGGGTGGAGTCTTTTGGGTTTTCCACATAAAGTATCATATCATCTGCAAAGAGTGAGAGTTTGACTTCTTCTTTGCCAATTTGGATGCCTTTTATTTTTTTGTTGCCTGATTGCTGTGGCTAGGACTTCTAATACTATGTTGAATAGCAATGGTGATAGTGGGCATCCCTGCAATGTTCCTGACCTTAGGGGCAAAGCTCTCAGTTTTTCCCCATTGAGAATGATATTCATTGTAGGTTTTTTATAGATGGCTTTTATGATATTGAGGTACGTACCCTCTATCCCTATACTCTGAAGAGTTTTGATCAAGAAAGGATGCTGTATTTTGTCAAATGCTTTTTCTGCATCTATTGAGAGGATCATATGATTCTTGTTCTTTCTTTTGTTAATGTATTGTATCACGTTGATTGATTTGTGGATGTTGAACCAACCTTGCAGCCCAGGGATAAATCCCATTTGGTCATGCTGAATAATCCTTTTAATGTACTGTTGGATCCTATTGGCTAGTGTTTTGGTGAGAATTTTGCATCCATGTTCATCAGGGATATTGGTGTGTAATTCTCCTTTTGGATGGGGTCTTTGTCTGGTTTCGGGATCAAGGTAATGCTGGCCTCATAAAACGAGTTTGGAAGTTTTCCTTCCATTTCTATTTTTTGGAACAGTTTCAGAAGAATAGGTATTAATTCTTCTTGAAATGTTTGGTAGAATTCCCCTGGGAAGCCATCTGGCCCTGGGCTTTTGTTCGTTGGGAGATTTTTGATGACTGCTTCCATTTCCTTAGTGGTTATAGGTCTGTTCAGGTTTTCTATTTCTTCCTGGTTCAGTTTTGGTAGTTGATACATCTCTAGGAATGCATCCATTTCTTCCAGGTTATCTAATTTGCTGCTATAGAGTTGCTCATCATATGTTCTTATAATTGTTTGTATTTCTTTGGTGTTGGTTGTGATCTCTCCTCTTTCATTCATGATTTTGTTGATTTGGGTCATTTCTCTTTTCTTTTTGATAAGTCTGGCCAGGGGTTTATCAATCTTGTTAATTCTTTCAAAGAACCATCTCCTAGTTTCATTGGTCTGTTCTACTGTTCTTTTGGTTTCTATTTCATTGATTTCTGCTCTGATCTTTATTATTTCTGTTCTCCTGCTGGGTTTAGGCTTTATTTGCTGTTCTTTCTCCAGCTCCTTTAGGTGTAGGGTTAGGTTGTGTACTTGAGACCTTTCTTGTTTCTTGAGAAAGGCTTGTGTTGCTATATGCTTTCCTCTTAGGACTGCCTTTGCTGCGTCCCAGAGATTTTGAACAGTTGTATTTTTATTTTCATTGGTTTCCATGAATTTTTTAAATTCTTCTTTAATTTCCTGGTTGACCCATTCATTCTTTAGTAGGATGCTCTTTAGCCTCCATGTATTTGAGTTCTTTCTGACTTTCCTCTTGTGATTGAGTTCTAGTTTCAAAGCATTGTGGTTTGAAAATATGCAGGGAATAATCCCAATCTTTTGGTACTGGTTGAGACCTGATTTGTGACTAGGATGTGATCTATTCTGGAGAATGTTCCATGGGCACTAGAGAAGAATGTGTATTCCGTTGCTTTGGGATGGAATGATCTGAATATGTCTGTGAAGTCCATTTGGTCCAGTATGTCATTTAAAGTCTTTATTTCCTTGTTGATCTTTTGCTTAGATGATCTGTCCATTTCAATGAGGGTGGTGTTAAAGTCCCCCACTATTATTGTATTGTTGTTGATGTGTTTCTTTGCTTTTGTTATTAATGCCATATATAATTGGCTACTCCCATGTTAGGAGCATAGATATTTACAGTTGTTAGATCTTCTTGTTGGATAGACCCTTTAAGTAGGATATAGTGTCCTTCCTCATCTCTTATTACAGTCTTTGGTTTAAAATCTAATTTGTCTGATATAAGGATTGCCACCCCAGCTTTCTTTCGGTGTCCATTAGCATGGTAAATGGTTTTCCAGCCCCTCACATTCAATCTGGGAGTGTGTTTGGGTCTAAAATGAGTCTTTTGCAGACAGCATATTGATAGGTCTTATTTTTTAATCCAATCTGATAGCCTGTATCTTTTGATTGTGGCATTTAGCCCATCTATGTTCAGGGTAACTATTGAAAAATATGAATTTAGTGCCATTGTATTGCCTGTAAGGTGACTGTTACTGTATATTGTCTGTGTTCCTTTCCGGTCTATGTTACTTTTAGGCTCTCTCTTTGCTTAGAGGACCCCTTTCAATATTTCTTGTAGGTCTGGTTTCGTGTTTGCAAATTCCTTTAGTTTTTGTTTGTCCTGGAAGCTTTTTATCTCTCCTTCAATTTTCAATGACAGCCTAGCTGGATAGAGTA